TGACAGCATTCAACTTGTAGTCTTTTTAGTGTCACCAAAAGTTGCATCAAAAAGCAAAATAGGGGGTAATCTGAAGAATTATTGAGATCTGACCTCTTCACCCTCTTTTGGAGCTGAGGACTATTTTGAGGATGTTGCTTTAAAGACATGTGATGATTAATGCAGCATTCTGTTTTGAACCACCAATATGGCTTGCATAAAGAGCAGGCAAAATACTATGAAAGTGAGAAGCATGCTGCCAATTCTTTTTAGAGAAACAGACACCCAAAATAGCATGATGTCAAATAGTATTTATGTATCCTTGCCTACCATGTCTGATGCATTTGTGTTTATTTGGCCACATTGATATGTGACTTATTTTGCAAAATGTAAAAATACTCGTTTTAAAAATATCCATTTAATCTCCACATAGCCATTCAGAATTAGTGTCTGAGATCCATCCTAGGCTGTCACATTACATTTTGTGTCCACTTGACTCCCATAGCCAGAGAGAATCTGCCAATCCCAACTGAGTGAAGTTTACCTGTATCCAGATCTAACATGTACATCAAGATGTTAAATTCCTCTCCACTCTGCTTCTGATCAAGCAAATAAAGTCCAGCAGACTGTGGTTGTGTGCAAGGAAAACAATGCCACACAATTATCTTAGAGTGCTGTCCTTAACCAAGGTGGTAAGAATGGGGCTCTGAAGCAACAGAGATGGTGCACCAGTTCCAGCCCGTGAAACATTCAGACCATGGGGGTCCTGCTCGGACTGTGCTCGGACATGGGGTTGTTTGATGTGTAGTCGCAAATTCATGCCCAACCCATCATGATCCCATGGACAACATTCCTCCAGGCTCTCCTGTCCTCCACCATCCCTCAGAGTCCAGCCAAGCCCACACCCACTGCCCCAGTGACTCCATCTAGCCACCTCATTCTCTGCTGTCCCCTTCTCCTTTTGCCATCAATTGTTCCCAGCATCAGGGTCTTCTCCAGTGATGGGCATGGGGCAGGCACTCCAATAAAAAGATGAAACAACTGAACCTTAAACCAATGGGAGCTGTTGGATTGAGGTGAGGTGCTTCAATCCAATTTTTCTTGTTTTTCCTATGAAAGTGTGAACCCTGCTGTAAACTGCGCATACGAAGAACCTACCCTGCATGATCCTTATAAGAATTGAATGCCTGTTGATCTGAGGTGGAGCTGAGGCGGTGAGTTGTATAGTTATTTCATCATATATTACAATGTAATAATCATAGAAATAAAGCACACAATAAATGAAATGTGCTTGAATCATCCCAAAACCATCTCCCCCCACAATGGGTCCATGGAAAAATTGCCTTCCATGAAACCGGTCCCTGGTGCTAAAAAGGTTGGGGACCGCTGCTTTAGCAGACCAACCCAAGCTTGATCGTATTTGGCTTGCCATACCCTGGAGCTGGGCTTGGGGGTTGCCTGTCTGGGGAAGAGGGCTAACGCCCCTACTCAGCGGGACCTGAATCTTGAAGTGGCATAAATCATTGTGCTGGCTGGGGCTGATGAGAACTGTAGCCCAAAATTTCTGGAAGGCACCTGCATTAAGGCAATCCTTATGTAAAAGTTATTAGATCCGCATGTGCAGCATTTTCTACTGTTCAGTGTGGATATGCATATACTACCAGGATTAGAAATGGATGACACATTTAATCTGATTGAATAGTTAAATGGGACTTTAAAACAATGAACATTAGCCACTTAGTCCATTTGGTAAATCCTAATAATTAAAACTGCATGTGCAGTAATGATTAAGGCTACCCCAGATATTGAAATGGAAAGAGATGCATCCTTGATGTGTCATGGCACTACCATAATGGAAACATTTAGTTAATGGAGGATCTGTGTCACAACAGCAAGCATACAGAACCTGCAGGTGGAAAAAAATACAAACACATTTCCCAGCAGAATCTCACATCACAATTCATTAGGAGAAATCTGCAATAACTGATGAGAGAGGCATAAAATGGATTTCCGTATTGCTGGACTGAATCATGGCTCCCAGCAATTAATGCTTTTTGTCATATTAAGCAGATAAATAATGCTATCTGACATTACAGTATTTCACATTACAGTAAAATTTTGTAGCATTTGCTCATAATCGGACTTGAAATATGTTATCTAGAAAAAAATACGTTATCTCTGGAACAGTCAAACCCCATTAGAAACCTTAGGCTTGAAAAATCACAATGTTAACAGTTATGTCCCCTAGCAAAGGTTTGCTTTCCTTAAATAGTGTTAAATTTAAACCCAGGAGCCCTAGTCTCTTTTAGAGTTACTCTTCCTTAGTGCATTGAGCTTGAAAGGAGAATTTAGTGCAGAGATTCACTCAGCGGTACTGCAGTTGCAAAAGACATGCAGGCTAGTGGAACTGCAAGCACAATCTTTTTGCCCTTCTGAATCACATGTAAATATTTTACACATGAGTTAGATCTCTCAAGTATTGATTACTTAAATACTTCGAGACTGGTAAACTCCAAAGGTGCATTTATGCCCTTTATCATTATGTTAAAAATCACCATAATGTTACTGATAAGACTTCAATATATTACTCAAGTATTTAAGCATAATGAACTTAGGGGCATTGCTTCCATTGTCTATTTAGGATAGACAACTGTCTATACAGTCCTTCTCTTAGGTTGGTGTCTCTTACTATGCTGACCCATATGGACAACTTTGGGGGGCTATAGGGGATGTTTTAATAAGTTTTTAGTATGATGAATTTTATTGTTATTTTAATGTACTTTGTGACTCACCCAGACAGTTTTGGCTATTGGGCAATACAGAAATCAATTAAATAAATTATTTGCTAATTCTCAACTGAGTTCCACAAACTGGACTTGGGCTTCGTAGGCAGCCATTTTCATTGTTCAGAACACTGACCCTTCACCCTCAGAGTACATCCTCACAACTCAATAAATAAGGGAACCAGCCTGACCACAAAAAAGGTGTTGATTCCCAGTGCCTTAGGGCCTTGTTCACCAGGAAAGCTCCAGGAACCAGGTCCCCCCATGTCCAGAGAAACTTCTCTTGCCATCCTTGAATTTTGACAATTTTAGCTGTAAAGGATCCACCCTGCCAGATCCACTTCTATGTTATTATAATAGACAGCTTGCTCAAACAAACCAACCATGTCTCTTTAAGGGATAAAAACTTAATCCATCAGGAGGTGGGACTAATCAGCCTAAAAGAAGTCAAACCTTCTTAAGGTTCAGCCACAGTCTGCTATTTATTGGAGCAATATATCACTCAACTTGTTTGGCTTGACTTCCAGCCTCAGCAGCACTAGGAATTCCCCATGGTACCACTTTGTTCCCATTCCTGTCTCTCTAGTAAACCTGATTCCTGCTGGTTGGAATCTATTGAACCTGACATGCCCAAGTCTTCAGTGTGAAGCAGACTCTACCTCACGGTTCTCAATGAAATGAGGTCCTCACTGTGTCTGGGCTCACTGACTGAAACAGAACTGCTATTTTATCTACTAGCCCATAAGGTACACCTTTCTTAGCTCCTGCTCCACAAGTGAGCATGTCTGGTTTTTGTGCCCATTGCCAAGAAAAGGAGTGCCTTTATTTAACCAGCATAGAGCAGTAGATGGTGTTTGCGGCATTCCTTAGCCTGACAGAAATGTTGTATCTCACAACATGATAACATGGTGCCTTTTGAAAATAGCACTGTCAACTCCCTTGCTGAAAACTGGATTAAAAGAGCACAAGAAAGGTTAATTTGCCCAATTCCATTACAAAGCCATCCAAGATTCGTGGCTATCCCTACATCTTGTGGGAGTGAATTCCATAGCTCAACTACACACTGTGCATAATTTTGTGCACCTCTATCATATCTCCCTTTCTCATCTCTTTTCTAAGCTAAACAGTCCCAGATGTTGAAATCTTTCCTCATAAGGGAACCACTTCAGCCCCTTGATCTTTAGCATTCTTCTTTTCTGCACTTTTCCTTACTCTATAATATCCATGGTGAGTGCAGTGACCAAGACCAGACAGTACTCTAAGTATGGCTGCACCATAAATTTATAGAAGTAGAGTACAATCTTGACAGTTTTATTTTTAATTCCTTTCCTTATTTATGTACATAATTTGTATACTGCTCTGTATCTGAATAGATTCTGGTGAATAACAAAATGTTTAAAAAGATAACAACAACAATGCATTTGAAACAATAATATTAAACCCATGTCTGGTCAGCAAGGAAGGCTTACTGAAACAAAGACACCTATAGCAGGAGCTGAAAACACAGTGCCAGAGCCCGCCTGATCTTCAGAGGCGAGTTCCATATAAGAGGTGTCCACACTGAGGGCTCTTCTGGTGGATTGGGCCGTAGGTCCTGTGGAACCACCAGGAGAATGTCCTCCAATGATCCAAATTACTGGTAATTATGCCTCACATGGAATTTGAATCACATTGCTCAGTCCTAATTCAGATCATTTATGAATAAGATGACAAGTAGTGCCTTTTCTTCCTGCTCCCTGCTTTCTGTTCTTTCGGTATTTATTGAGTAATAAGATCTCTCCTCTTATTCAGTGTCTGCTGAATTTGCTAAGGAGTCTTTGGGGAGGGATTTTGCCAAAGGCCATTTGGAACTCCAAACAGATAATATCTACTGGGTTAACCCTGAGCACTCCTTGTATAAAAGCATTACTCCTATGCAGCAGCATTGGTGAGATAGTAAAGCAGTAGTAAATGTTCATCACTGCCTAGCAGCTACCAAGAGGGAAGTCCCATTACCTAGATGGCAGCCCTTTGTCAAGTTCCCCTCAGTGTCTGCAGCAAGTGATGTTAGATTTTTCTGCTCTGTTTCCCTACTTGCAATCAATTGGAAGCTGCTGGCAGGGAAATGCTCAGCATTGTATGTCAGGAGATGAGGTAAAGGAAGCCCCGTGCATCCTGAAATATGCTAATTGTGTCAGCAATGAAAATATCTGGAATTCTACAGTTCTGTCTAACCATCATCTGAATGCACTATTAAAGTTATTCAAAAAATGTTACGTGTTTATTGTTCATACCTTCAAGTCAATACAGGCAAAAAATGTAATTGTACATGGAACAGCTCAGATGCCTTATGAAATGCAGCAAGGTGAAAAGCTTATTAACTGATAGCATAAAATCCCCTTCAAATGGCAATGCATGTATTTCTATGCATACACATACATACAACCACCAACAAATCTTCTCAGAATGAAGTGCCACATAGCTTCTCCAGAGGTACAAGAGAGGCCTGGATTGGAAGTATTGCTTTATTTTCTACTGTGACATTCATACACAGTCAACAGTTCAGCAAAGCCACACATGGTTAGAAAAAAATGAAGTGGATCACTTTCCCAAACATTGGAAAAAATGTAGAAAATAGCAGCTCTACACAGCATGTTCCTTTTGAACAAAGAAATCATACACTGCGGTGATGTTGGCATTCCAATGGTCACAGGCAAGACATGGGTTCTAATTCAGGATATGACTTTATGCCAAAGCAAAAGTTCCGAGTTATTCATAGAGTTCTCCCAGCCACAATGGTTTCTCATTAACATAAGATGCAGTGAAGCTACTTTCTCCATTGAAATGAATGCGAAATCCCATTTCCAGAGGGCTGCATGTGAGCATTAAAATACACAACGCCCTCTACTTTCAGAGCATTAGCTGCCATCACAAGGGAGACTTGCTGGCTGTTAGGGATGTATGGGATTGCAATGTGCTCACATGGCTTGCCTGTCGTAAGTGATCGTGGAAAGCCTTCTTTGGGTGGACCTCTAGACTGTGAATGGAGAGAAAGCAACCTTAATAATATATTCAATGTATGGCTCCTCTTTTGGCCAAATCACAAGGGCAACCAAAAAGAAATCCTATATGCTTAGTGTGCCCAGGGCATCCGTATGTACAAAATGTTCAATTACAGCAATCCTTGAGGGGAAGGATTGCAGGCATATGATGTGAGCAAGTATCACCATTCATATAGGTTTTCTCTCTGTATCTCTGTGAAGATTAGTTGCCCATGCTATCCCCGCATTGCAGTGTTGCTTACAAATTTTTCTATCATTTAACACCATTAACCCCACATGAGGTAGCGGGAGAAATGAAGAAATTGCCCATAGACTGTGGTAGATAAAATGCATTTCTTTTTTGTTCTTTCAGCCTGGAAAAAATGGCATTGTCCGTGGTGTAGCTGAGCCAGGGCTTACAGGGATGAAGCACCAGGACGTATTTACTAGTGGGGATGATAACATCACCTACTCCCCCCCCCAGGATTCCCTGTCCCCTCTGAGCTTAGCTGCCAATTCTCACAGTAACTGAAGGACACGAGTTTTCCCAGCAGTAATATATTGTTCTCTGTTGCAAAATAGTTTGGAGTGGCCTAGCCTTGAATGGACAATTAAGACTCATTCAGCTTACAAAAGACCAGCTCCTGGTGGAGATGAAAACTGCTACAACTAGTTTATGTTTCACCACAGAAGCTGCCTTTTGGATTATCCTTGAGTATATGGCTATGGGGACTGTCACACTGAGCTTCTGCACTTCTCAATTTACCACTGGAATCATAATACTGCTATTACAAAGACCAGGTTAGGTATCTCCCAGCCACCCCCTTTTAAGAAAAAATGCTGGATTTATCTGTGCTATGTAACAAGAGAGTCTTAACACCTTACTAAAAAAAGAGCTATTCAGTAGCTCACAGACAGCTGTCTTGTCAGTCTGGAAGGGAGCGAGCACTGGGAGATGTTCTTTCCACAGCTACCATCGGGATGATTGTGACAAGTACCTGGCAGACGACAAGGACGTCAGAAGTGCCGCGAAGGCCACCCAGCCTCGTGCTCTGCTCCTGGTTCTTTGAATGGAGACCTAAGACAGACATCCTGAGCGACCCCCACACCTGGAATTAAGAGTTGCTGTATACTAGCCTTCCCTAACTCAGTGCCCTCCAGCTGCACCACAACTCTCATAATCCCCATGCACATGACCATCATTTTTGTTGGCTGATGGTAATGGAAATAATAGTCCAACACATTTGGAGAGCACCAGTTTGGGAATGCTACAGCCAAACTCTTCACATCATGTTTCTGCAGTAGGTGACAGACTGAAAGATGTGAATGTTCTTCCACATGATGGGGAAAGTTCCCATACAAAGAAATCCCACATGTCAGGGAGAAAAGCTTCCTTGAGAGGCTGGTTTCAGATGCACCACCAAGGAGCACTGAAACATTCAAGCTCATTATCAGCACCTGCAGTGGGAGGCAGTGCATGCCAAGAATGAATATAATATGTGAGGCTAGTCTATTGTACTGTGTTTTGCAAGTCAGGTCCAACTTCATGTATTTAGGACTGAGGTGAAATGTGTCAAGCTGTAATTGGAAAGTGCATTTTCCAAATTATGCTGAAATCTATCATTAAAATGTGCAAATAAAACAAAGTGGTAACTATTGCGTCTGACAGTGCTAACAGTATAGCTTTGTTAAAATATAATATATATATTGGTGCAAAACCAGTCTGCCTGTTACTTTGGTCACATACAGGAAAACCAGATTCAAGTCTCTGATATATTTGTTTTTCAAATAATATCATAGTTCATCATGGTCTTTTGTGAGGTCTTCTCCATAATTTGTAGCTTGGCTTCCAACAAACATATTCCAGTTGTCCAGAATCTCTTCTTTGGTTAACTTTTGATCCTGGGGGATTGGAAAAAAAAACCCTTTATAAAAGAATCCCTAAATACCCCGCTTCTAGTAAAAACATTGTCAGAAACCAAATCCAAAATGTGTCCATGAAAGTCTCATTAACAAAGTTATTCAAGAGATGAGGCAATATATTCAACGAGCATAAGCTGCAGTTATAATTAATAAACACATTAATAAAATATTTATATTTCATCCTTTTCCTGCAAAGAACCCAAAATGGCTTACCGAATCCTCCTGCTCTTTTCCATTTTTCTTGCAAAAAACTCTGAGAGATAAATTGGACTAAGAGTCAGTGACTGGCCCAAAACAAGCTTCATGGTTTAGTGGCAATCATGGCTGAATCTCCTGAATTTGAGTCCAATACTCTAACCAGTACTCCACCCTGGCTCTTCCTCTACAATAGGGCAATATAACTCTTTAAGTTTAATCAAAACATCTGTTTGGATTACTTGTCTATAACATTTGAATGTGCTTCTTTTGCAAGAGATTGACCTGCATTTTCCAGCAGTGCAGGCAGGGCCTAACACCTTCTCCTGCAAGACTGTTGGGGCTGGGCTATTCCCTTTCAGACTGGTGATGGCCCCATGATTCAGCAGCAGATGGAACATCTGAGGACTTGTGGCCTGGAGACTTGCATACACCTTTGCTTCACCCAACAAGTTTTTGTCTATTTGATTATTCTGACTAAGCAAGGTACAAACATGCCAGATAAATAAATAACAAATGAATATCATTCCTATTTCCAGAGTTCAGGCATGAGTGTTGATCCTTATGGAGCCCAGACTGCACTGCCCAGGCACAAGGCAAATAGATCAACAGGATCTGCAAAGCACTGAGGTGCTTAACAAATCTAGGGAAATAAATCCTGAGCAGGGTGGGGAGCAAGAGATCCCTTCCAAAACAGCCCAGTTAATTAAGTTAATCATGACTAGCTTATTGCATTGCACCCAAAGGGTACTTTATAAAGCCACCCTAACTTCAGTGCACCTGTAGAAAGATCCACAAGCAAAGGAGCATCACTGGTGATGTACATACCGCTGGCAAGAACTGAAATAGGGTGTTATAGGGGCATCCTTGGATCAGCTCAACCAAAAGTCTCCCTGTTTCCCAGTATGCCCATGTATCATGATTTGTTGTCATTGATTATTGAATGGAACCTTATCAGAACATATTCCTTAATAGCTTCTCAACTGAGACAAACAATTCCAGAAGATGGAGTTCTATGCAAATATAGGCATGCATCAGTCTCAAGTTGTGTCCAACAGTTGGCTTGCTCTGATCTCTATCACAGGATGTGTTTATGGAATGCATGAACATCCCACATTTCTCACAGTTTTCTAACCTCCTTTTACAATGATTGGGTTCAGGCAACATGATAACCCACACCCAAGGACTGAGGATATTTATTTATTACTTTTGTAGACTGTCCCATTACCGAAGTCTCAGGACAGTCTCAGGACAGTTTAACAATAGGACAGGATGAATGTGAAGTGTAACTGAAACATGGCTTATTGATGAAATGTGGGTTAATTTGTCAACTGAACCCAGCCATGCTAACAAATGATGATTTGCTAACCATGAACAACTTGTAGTCCATAACTCAACAAACCATAGGCAGAATTGCATGGCACAATAAGCAATGGCTTTTTTTAACCTTTGCTTTGTCATGTCATCGAAAACCCATCATGGTATTTTGGGATGACACATTTGGTTTTGAGAAACCACTAACAAAAAAAAAAAAGGTCTATTCTATGGTTTCTCAGAAGATGCAACTCACTGCTGTACTGAAGCCAGAACCACAGAGCTGCTGGGCACGATCAGTCCATTGCCACTTTTGTCCAGCAGCCCACCTGACAGCTGCCATTTGATGCAGCTGTCAGAGGTGTGCTCCCTCCTCTTGCCTCCTGCCCTAAAGATCTTTTTAGAGGCAGAAGCAGCTGCTCGGTGCTGGGAAAAGAGAAGCACCACTCTGTTGATTCTCCTGCTGCCACTGCAATGAGAATCCACAGCACTGCCCGGCTGCTTCTCACCCTGCGGCTCAAGCACAGGAGAGGTTTCGTTCAGGCGCTCATGGAGGGGGGCTGCAGCTCCTTTCTGCAGCACTGCCCGGCTGATTTCCCCCTCTTTTCCCTAAGCACAGATCTGGTACCCCCACCTGCTTAAGCAGTCCCCTCTGGAGAAAGAGAGGAGGGTGCCTGACCAGCTCCACTGTGCTTCAGGGCATGCCCTCCGTTTGTACAGCAGAGACTGCTTGACAGCTGCAGTGTGACAAACTCAGTTCATTATTGGGACTGTCAAACGGAGGAGCCTCAGGAGAATTGTGATGCCTCCTGGGAAACTGGCTGGTGGACTGAGAGGGTTGATAATGACAGATGGGAGGAGAGTCACCTTGAACAACCTGATCATCTTTCAGGCACATCTACACAAAAAACTGTGCATGTGCTGCTTGTCATGATGTGTGAACCCAGTTAATGGGTTCTCTTCATGGGCTGTTTGTGGTTAACAAACCATGGCTTGTTAAAGTGGCTGTGTTCAGGTATCACAGCAACCCAGTTTTCACAAACAACTCAACAGTTCAGTGACAACCCACACTCAACCTTCTGTGCTGTCTTCCCAGCCAGTGATTAAGGCTTAATTCTTGGTAGGTTGACATTCTGTAAAATCAAACTAATTATTTCAATACTCTAATGTTCATGCAATCTGACAGAGAACTAAGTACCTTGTCTACATCTGATTCATATACTAAGTGCCTTGCTTCAGCTAGTGCATGATCATAGTCCTGTGGGAGAATCCAGTGCCGAATCTCCTCTTTATCCATCTTCCCATCCTTGTTTAGATCCCGAAAATCTGCAAACTGTTCACGCTCTGTGACTACCCAGTCAGGTTCTGGACCACCATCTTCATGTGCAAACATATCCGCTGTGGGAGAAAAACAGCATTATATTTCAAAATCCTGTTTAGTTTGCAAATATACCAGAAAGCAGAAGTGTTCGAGTCACTCTAAATAAATGGAAGGGATTTACAAGAAGATCAGACAATTATTGAGTTAAAGGAGAGTCTCAGACTTTTTCCAGGTGATCCTTTTCCTTCCACACCCTGCCACATCCTAAGATCCACCAAACCCAAATCTTTCAAAGCAAATATATTGACAAGAGGCAAGGGTATGCTACAGGAGAAAATAAAATCAGGCACCTATCAGTCTGATATGAAGGAAAAAGCACCCTGACCTTCTAGCACAGGGGTGCTAAGCCTCTGTCAGCCCAAAGGCCAAATTCAATTTCAAAGAAGGTCTCAGGGACCTAACAGCTGTGGCTTAAGGCAAAAGGGGCAAGGCCAAAATACCAAATCTGCCAGTTTACTTTAGTTTTAAGTTCTTACTACTAGTAATTTATCTTTAGGATAAGTATGCCAACATTTCACAATAAGGAAAGCTACATAAAAAGGGGGAAAGTACCCATCAGTAGTCTGGGGAAAGGGGATGAGGCCAGGGTAGGGGACATGGCCTTCCAGGGTACTCCAGAGTACTGGACTGAGACCCTAGGCAGGTCAGATTTAATCCCAAGTCTGATGTTTGGCATCCCTGTTATAGCAGTTGAGGCAGGATGTCTTACAGGTTCCAAAAGTTATTAAGAGAAGAATTTTATGTATAGACCTGGTTTGGGAAAACCATATAAAGAGGAATGCCCACTGAGGGACTATGGAGACAGAACACAAGTCATCACTTAACCACAGTTAAGAGATCATACATGGGCCATGGAATTGCATCTTCCTAACCACAGCCTGTCCTCTCCCCCTTTTCTATTCTGTGGTTTGGTGCTATATGTACTAACATTAATCATGGTTAATGTACACCAGGTTTTGTACCCAGCCTAAGATAACACGTGTACATGATGACAACCCACAATTCATTGACAACCCATACACAACCCATACTCTGGTTTTTACTACATACAGACCCAGTCTCTGTTTTGAAGCTTGTTCTACAATTCTAGATTTGAACTCTGGTTTGTCTAGATTATAATGAATGTTGGTAATGGAGCAAAGGCAAAGAGAAAACACATTTCAGAGGGGAGGGCCTGGAACTTCATTCCATCATTCTGAACTGCTCGCTCTGTGTCTGTTTGAGTTTGCTGGGTGGCAACTTTCAGTTCCCTTCAGCTGATCTTGGAATGATAATACCGATCACCATTTTGAATAAAGCAACTCCCCTTCCACCCTACAAGCTTAAATATCTCACACAAACTTTATAAACCACCTTTGTTGCTGCTAGCTACATTTCCTGTTCTAATCTGTACTATATCCACAACAAACAACAAGGAGACTACACCAATAACAAGAAAGAAGCAAGAAGAAAAGCCACCAAAGTGAAATTATAATTTAATAGGTAATTTTCAATGCATCAAGTTTAGAGACAATTTCTTATGTAGGGTATATGAAGAAATATGATTTTCTAGCTAACTGATGGATAAAGTTCCCTGATGAAGACAGCTGCAACATGTCAGTAATTACCAATTAAATTATAATTGCATCTTATCAGCCTCGCCTCTTACCTTTCATCATCATGACATATCATCAGAGAATTGTCCAACTACCTTATCAGGACCAGCCAGAATAAGATGGGAAAGGAGTTCCCACTCAGCAAGGCCTTGGGAAGCAACTATCGCCCAATATCCACTCTAGAATACTCACTTAAACTAGGCTTGAAAATCACTGCTCATTTGCATCCAGATGAGTAGAAACAGAATCTCTGGTACACTGGAAGACTTGTTCTTTTTTATTTGAATGCTGTTGATTTGCCACAAAGGACTGAGTATTTTGTGGGAAGGCTGACAAGCAAAATGTTACTGAGACTGCATTGTACATTCTGTAATGCTCAACTGTATCTTATTATAAGGGCAATAAAATTCTTGTGGAGGCTGCTGGGGGTCTACATCAGGCATATTCCCCTGGCTATTGCCCTATTACGATTCATGTTTGTAGAAAATATGAGGATGCATAAGCCCTGTGCAGATACTTCTCCGGCTGGAAAGTCTTGGAACGAGAGAGCAACACGTCTGTCCACCCTTTATACAGCCAAGGCAATCTGTGAAGTCATAATCCATGCAGAGGTCTGTATTTATGAAAGCCCAGTTTGCACGATTCTCTCCCTCTTGTTTGTTTGAGGGAGTACGCATAATGTGTGAAATGGGAAACCACACGTGTGGGCTTCCATGTGGAGTGCCCATGTTGCACAGTAGAACCCATACATGTTGGAAAAGAGTATGTCTCCACTACTGACAGCCAAGAAAGTGCCTGAACCGGGTCATATTCCATCTGCAACACTTATGACTATGCTTCTCAAAGGCTAACAAGAAATTCTCTGCCTTTTCCCCTGCTAAAAGTTGCAGGCCAAGGGTAAAAGCTTGCTGCCCTTCGGATATTTTGGCCTTCAAATCCCATCACTTTTACCATTGGCCAAGTTGGCTGGGACTCCAAACCTCTGGAGGCTCCCTATACCTTCTGTAAATTGTTCATTCATGATGGCTGCATTTCTTATGATTTCTGTGGTTTTTTGATAAAAGTTCTGTGTCATGTTATCATCCTTGATTATTTATCTCCTCTGATGGAGGAACTTTTAAAATAATAAAACATAAAGGAGAACTTTGGCCCGTGCTGCCTCTCACCCAGTGGGTTTCTTCTAAGAATGGAAAAAATAGGGAGTCATAGTTCTTCCAAGATCCCCTCTTAAGATGCAATCACAATCTTTTATGCTAGGTTCAGAAGTATGGGAGGAAAAATGACCCAGAGCAGCATTGCATCTTGTCTCTGCCAGCAAGTGTCTGCGCAAATAACATCAGAATCAAACGAGCAAGAGCAGTAGAGGGAATAAAAATGCAAGAGGAAACTTAGGGAAACAAAAATCAGCTACATGAAACTGGATGGCTTTTAGAAAGGCTTAAAAATAGTCTGTGCAAGAGAAGGACTTCTTAATTAGCCTTCCTTTTAACTCCTTAGTACAGAACACTAAGGACTCTGTCACAAATGCCAATGGTGCTCTGGAAATGCAAGCACACTAGGAAATCAGTAGGGGCACATTTCATGTAATGCATTCATGTTATGCCTTTTTTGCCATATATAGAGTTGACATGACCATCTCTCTGAAGACATGCGCTTCTACAATAAGGAATGGAAGACCAATGGTGCCACATGTGGATTTATCACTTGAGACCCAAACCAGATGTGTCAAATACAGTCCCATGTCCCAAGGCTTTCCCTTTTTGAATTGAAAGAGTCTAATCATGCTGCAAGTTTAAGCAAGGGAATGCAGATGGGAGCAAAATGCAAGCCTTTTCCTTTCCTATAAAATACCAGGGGGTAAATTAAACTGAGGAAGTGTGACTGGCTCAGGTTCAGCCAGGTAGTTTCATGGATGAGTTGGCATTTGAACTGGGCTTCTCTCATCTTTGTCTGACACTTTAGCTAGTATACGAAAAGCAGCACCCATTTCATACTTTTCAAATTGTGTAGTAATGAAGTCAAGAAAACCCTGATTCCCATTTTTCTACTCCAAAGGTATGCTTTCCAAATGATCCCTCATATTTCTCAAATTGCTAAAGGATGGTTGCAGTGACTCCACATGTACACTTTGCCCATTGCTTCAGGTGCGCGCACCTGGCCACTGCAAGTCCATGTGCCAATTACCCATGGATAGATCTGAGTTGCACAGTTGATTTCCATACTGAACAGGTGATACTGATTACATGGATCGGGATTATGAACATTAGATTTTATGCATGAAGAACCTGTGCAAACATCACGTCCATGCTCAAATCTCCAGAAGACCTCACGGTGTGACACACACGTTTACTGGATGTGCATTCTGCAACCTCTGCACCTACAGCCATCACACTAGGGGTGAAGAGCATCCACACTGGCCCTAAGAAAACTTTTCTATAACAAATATAAGACATCTCCATATCATGACTTACCAATGTATTCATCTTGATCTACAAATCCATCTTCATTTTTGTCTATGTCCTCCAGCGTTTCCTGTCACAATAAAGAAAAATAACTGTCATTACTAAGGTGTGTATTTTTTGCCCAAACTGATAGTAAAACTCTTTCCTTTGGAGCTGTCACTTTACATCAATTGATCCATTCTTTTAAAAAATGCAACAACCATACAGTAAATATCAATAATTATGTTTTATGTCATGACCTCTTTTCAAGGTCCTGCCATAAACCATATGCAAAATCTGTTTTATTTTAGGAAGTTCACTATGCTGATAAATTTAGATAGAAGGCCTTCTGTAACACTTGTACCATTTAATTATGTGAATATGTTATGATATTAAAGCAGGAGTTTGAATACTGTAAGCGTGAAATCCTATGGATGTTTTGACAGAAAAACTTCCTCTAAACTCCAGAGTCACCCAGCCAGTGTGGGAGGTTTTCTTACTGTTTAAACATACAGTGGTACCTTGGCTCACAAACCTAATCCATTCCAGGACTCTGGTTGTGACCCAAATTGGTCATGAGCCAAGTTCAATTTCTGTAACTATTTTTTAAATCAGAAAAATGTGAAGCAAAGAACAACAAAGATTGTGGCCATCTCCCCGCCGCCCCAGCATGACCAGGATTGTGCCTGTCATCCCGGTGCGCTGAGGGGGGGGGAGAGATGGGCGCGAACATGGGTGTGTGTGGGGGAGAGCGATGGGCACAAACACAGGGGCACTCATGGGGAGAGAAAGGTGCGATCATGCTGGGGGACGGGGAGATGGCCGAGATTGCAGTTGTGCTCCTGCAGGAAAGACGGGCACAATCACGGACGCACTCATGCAGGAAAGAAGGGGGCAATCTCGATCATCTCTCCCCTGCCCCCAGCATGATCACAGCCATCTCCCCATTCCAGTGGGGGGGCGGGGGGATGGCCGTGATCGCAGTCGCCACTCAATGCACAGTTTGCAACCCGAGTCAAAATTTTTATGAAATTTTTGTTTGCGACCTGATTTGGTCGTGAACTGAGGCATTCGTGAACCGAGGTACCACTGTATATGCATTTGTACCATTAGATATTCAAAGGTACCCAAATCCTTTTCCAAGCTGGGTTAAAACCCTCTGAATCAGGAAGGGAGCACTACTCACACTTCCTATGGTGGGACACAGCGCAGGGGCAGGGCACACGCTTCACATGCAAGAGGTTGCAGGTTCAATCCAGCATCTCCAGACAGGGAAGGGAAAGACCCCTGTCTGAAACCCTAGAAAACCACCGCCAGTCAGTGCTGACAGTACTGGCCTACAAGGACCACTGGTCTAACTCAGTATAAGGCAGTTCTCAGGAAGCCCCTAGGTGACCTCCAAAGGTATTTGAGGAACAGCAAGGTGCCCATGAAGAGAAAACTGGGACCACCTCATCTTAAGGGCCATTAGAGTGGTCTTGTCCTGTGGTGCTGAAACAATGATGGGGCTGTGAAATACTAGAGGAGGACGAGGAGGAGGAGAACGAGGAGGAGGAGGTTACATGTATATCCTGGCTTTCTTCCTCTAGGAAGAAATCCAAGGCAGTTTACAAGTATCTCCTCCTTTCCTTTCTGAGCTCACAACAACCCTGTGAGGTAGGTTAAGCTGAGAGGCAGTGACTGGCCCAAAGTTACCCAGTGGGCTTCACGGCTAAGTGCAGACTAGCACCCAGATATCCTGTATCCCAGTCCTGCACTCTTAATCACTACACTACAATGGCAGGATATGCAGATGAATGCCTATTCAAAAGTATACAATATCCTCCCATTGATTAAACTATGTTGTATATACTTTTTGAAGGAATATACACTTTCTCAGGCTTATTTTTCTAATGTATGCATTTTTAACATGTTTCACAGCACAAACCACATTGAAAACTTGGGAATAAATTGCAGATTGTATTTGGAAGGTGTGAAGAAAGGAAATTCTGGTCTTAAACATGCTGAAATGAGTTTCTCATGCACCTCTGCTTTTAACAAAACAAAGCGAGATTCCTCAAATAGTTTTCCTTCCTGTCAAAACTGCCAGTGACGATTGTTTGGGAACCCTTGCCCTCAAAGCTGAGGACGCTGGCTTTCAAATCTATTCAGTAAATGGAAACCCAAAGATAGGAGATTGGATCCAATGTTGCTTACAAGAACAACAATGTCCTTCATATGTTCAAACTCTTCCGGGTGAAGGAAAGCTGTGAACTCCTCACGGGTGGCTTCTAAGTCACCATCCAGGTCAGCTCTTTTGAATCTTCTTTCATCCCTAGGCAGCATTTTTTTAAAATTGTGTTGCTCTGTTGCATCTTGAAACTCTGCAGCATTTTCTAGGAAACCAGGATAATCAAAATGAGATGAGACAAACAGAAGTGCCAAGAGTAACCAAGATCTGAGTGCTGCCTGCTATACCTGACTTTTTAGACTATAACTCACAGCATTGCTGACCTTCAGCCATGCTGCTAGAGATGATGGGAGTTGAAGTCCAAACACTTGGAAGGTAAGAAGCTGGGGAAGGTTGATCTAAACAGGTCTGGGCAGAATTGTTTTAGACTTCAGTTCCTAGCATTCCTGATGATTGGCCATGTTGGCAGGGGCTTCTAGGCACTGAAGTCCAAATCATATGAAGAGCTGCCTTCTGCTCATTCCTAACCTAAAGCATCCTTCCCTAACCCCACACAAAAGGAACCCCCAAGCTTCTAACACAGGCCATCCCCTTTACTAGCCAAGCACTGTAATGCCATGGTAGCCCACCGGCATTCCTTTCTAGTTGCCTGCTTCCCCTTCCATCCCTCACATAGAACATCTGCTATTCTCACTGCCACTGTCTGGCACTAAAACAGGAAACATCAAAGAAAATAGTATTTTAAGAAGTTCTGAGGCAATTCCTTTTGCATCAACCCCCATAAGAATTATAGCAGTATATTTTATTAGTACCTCACTTTTGTATCAAAATGGCACTCAAGGGGCTTACAGAGCCAATGAGAACTGATCAAAACAATAAATGAAAATACGGTAGCTACTGCAGAAAAAATAAAGCAACTGCTACCACACAGGGCCAATGCAGGTTATTTTAACCACAGTGACGCATGCTGGTGTATGAGACTGCCAATTGTAATTGTGTCATCTGAACCTGGTCCAATCCTGTGTCATCTCAACCTGGTCACTGGGGGTTATTTAAGGGCAGATCCACCCTCATTGAACTGCTACTGCAAAGAATCATTTAGCTCTTGAATATTCTTCAATGACGGTGTTTCTGCAACAGGCATAACCTCTGATCAAAATGGTGGCCACACACACCTTGGCTAATTGTGGGTTAATTAACCAACAACAACTTGCTATGTCATATGTACTGGGTCAGAGGCTACCATAATGTTACTAGTGTCTCACTCTGTTCCTTGGAGCAATGTTAGGGAATGATAATCCTACCTTAAAACTGTATCTAGCAACTATGACTTTGTTTTCATGTTTTACTTTAGCATAGGCCCCAGAGCTGCAGTCCACACCTTAAAAACCTGCTACCCCAAATGCTAGGGTCCAATTTGGATTAGGCGTCCTGCATTACTCTAAAGCAAACATTTTCAAAGACAGAGCTACCAGATATAGGGTTAAAGTAGCAGTGCTTTGTCCCTCAGAGGCAAGATTACAGGAGCTGCGCTCTATGAGCCACATTAGCCCAAATTTATGTCTTGAATTTTCTCACCCAGGAAATACCCATATGTGGCTTGTTTATATTCTTCCCAGGAAATTTTATTGTCCTTGTTGAGGTCATAATCCTTCCAGACCTTAGCCACATTTTCAAAAATATGGCGTTTCTGTACTCGTTTGATCCAGTTTTTCAGTTCTTCGGTTGTGACAAAGCCATCTTTGTTATCATCAATCCGATCAACAATTTTCCTGCAACCGTGGGGAAAGAAAACTGAGGATTAGACTCTTTGTAAGAATTTTCATGCATATCTACCTAGGTAATTATCTACCTATCTCAGTACTATCTCGCAATGGCTCACCTGGGTTCCATGCTAGAGTCTTACCCTGCAATTTAAACTTAAGACTCTCTACATGAAAAACATGCACAACAGCTATGATCTAACTATACTCTGCCATGATGTTTGCAAGAGGTAAGTTTCCATTACTGGACTTCTACTACTGTGAGCAACCCATTTTGGAAGATGACATCACTCACATGGACTATAAGCATTTTTGAATTTAGGAACTGGAGTTAATACTGTGGCTCAATTTTTTCATGGATTTCTAACCTCCACAGGCTATTTTTGTGGGTGGCATCTAGAAGACTACCTAGATAGTTCTTGCCATTCTCTCTACCAGGGGCTGGCAACCTGGTGCCCTCCAGATGTTTTGGAACACAATACCCATAAGTCCCAGCCAGCACAGCCAAAACAGTTTGAGGGAGTAATATCTAGTTTATCTGGAACCCACTTGGTTGGGAAAGACAAGTCTAAAGGAAGGGAACATTTATGGTTACACTTATAGTCAAGCACAAAGGAGAGACGGCTATGGGGCACACAGCCCACTCTATGCAGATACATGTTGCCTAATGGTAGAGCTGGCTCTGTTACGTACAACAAGTTGTAGATGGGAACAAGAGTTTTGTTGTTAGCAAGGAAATAATACTACTTAGAGCAACAAAGTAGTTGCAGGAACCTGCTTTTCAGAGAGGTGCGTCTGGTGCTGATGCTTTATCCATTTGGGTGCCAGGCCAAAACTTTTTCATTTCCCCTGTATTTTATGTATTAAATGTGGTTTAATATTGGTTTTATTGGATATTTATATTGTATTTTGTATGCTGCCACTATCCTGTTTTGTATCCTGAGATGTTTGTATAGAACAGCATAGAAATGTCCCTAATAAATAAATAAAAAATAAACTCTGAAGAGAACTTTTGTTTCATATATAGTTCTTAAAAACTTTTTTTCTAGACTTATTGCAGATATTATTCCTTTCTTTCCAAATTCTGTGCATCCATCCATCTATCTCTTTCATATCCCACCCTTCACAATGTCTAATAGTAGACATTAGTACTATTATTACTTATTTCATTTCTATACTGTCCCATAACTGAAGCTCTCAGGTGGTTAACACCAAACAATAAAATAGAATACAAATACCCTAAAACAACAGTGTTAAAAGAATTTAAATTTAATTAAAATAGCTTAAAAGAAAGTAAAAATAAAATAAAAAGACATGGCAAGAAAAAGAATCAGCAGGATTCTTCCCCTCAGGCTCCTGGTTAACCATAGAGATCTTTGATGACCACTGTAAAGAGGGTTGCCTTGACCTGGAGCCAAAAATATGGTAAATCTGGCATCAGGCAGGCTGCAGCAGGGAGACCATTCCAAAGATGAGGGGCCACCACAGAAAAGGCCCTCCCTCTAGATGCCACCCTCTGAGCCTGTCAAGGAGTTGGCACCTGGAGGAAAGCTCCAGAGGTTGAGTGTAGCACTCAGACTGGCATTCAGAGAAAGGTCCCATTGGTAGAGTGGGCTTGGGAGAGGCACTCTGACAGGTATTGCAGTCCTAAGTCATGTAGGGCTTTATAGGTTAAAACCAGCAATCAATTCTTGAATTGGGCCAGGAAGCATAAAGGCAGCCAATGCAGGTGGGTCAGAACCAGTCTTGCATATTGGGATCTACAGGTTCTGATTGTTAATCTGCCTAATGAGGACACTGTTTGTTTTTCAGTTATATATTTTAAAACGTTTTAAAAATAATTTTGAAATGTATATAGACTTAGAATAAACAATGCTATAATAATGGTGTGAACAATGGACATAGTGAAAAGCTTATTATATGCATCCCATGTGACAGCATATGACAAAAAGTTTATTGGAATTACAACGCATTTAATCTAAAAACTCATGTATGAGATTGCATGCTTACTCAGGTAAGAGTAAGTTCCACTGAACACAGTCAGACTTACTTTGCAGTAAACATTAGGATCATGAACAAAATTACCTTCAGTGTTGAGTTAGCAACTGTTGACCTTATTATATTCAGGGCCAGCATCTGTCCTGATGCTGAGTAAGAATTTAATAGTAAATGAATAGTAACTCAATCACTGTTCTGGTAAATTAGTTGAAAGCATTATTAGCATCAGTAAGCATATAGAGGGATAAGCCTTACTTTAAAAGATTCAACATGGTTTTGGCAAAGCTAAATCCTGTCATGCAAGCCTATTAAGAGTTCTTTAAGAGTGTCAGTGAACATGTGGATCAAGTAGGCACCATTTATCTGGACTTCCAAAAGGCATTTGCCAATGAGAGAACTGGGTATGTTCAGCCTTGAGAAGAAAAGGCTGAGGGGAGATATGATATCATTCTATAAGTACCACAAAGGCTGCCACAGAGAAGAACTTCAAGATCTCTTTTCACTGATACCAGAGTGTAGGACACAGAATAGTAAACTCAAGTTGAGACAACCCAGATTCAGGCTAGATATGAGGGAAAGTGTCCTCATTGCCAGAGCAATACAGAAGTGAAACCAGTTTCCTAGAGAGATTGTGGGCTCTCCCACACTAGAGACATTCAAGGTGAAACAGGATGTTCATCTGATTGGGGTGGTTGGGCTCAATGGCCCTCTTGGTCCCATCCAACTCTAGTATTCCATGACAAAGTCCTATACCAAAGATTCCTGAGCAAACTTAAGCAGTCATGCAATAAGAGGGGAGATCCTCATATAACCTCATCAGTAACTGGTTAAAGAAAAGAAAGCAGAGGGTTGGAATAAATGTTAATTTCTCCCAATGAAGAGTTCTAAATGGGGGTGCCCCACAGGGTTCTGTATTAGGACCAATACTTCTCAACCTGTTCAGTGAAGTGGCCAAGTTTGTTGATGATACCAAACTATTTAGGGAAGTTATGAGCAACTTCTAAAGGATCTCTCTAAACTGGGAGAATGGGCATCTCAATGGCAAATGTGGTCCAGTGTAAGCAAGTGTACAATAGGAGCATATGGCCTGGTGGAAATCATGGAAACTTGGTGGGATGAAAGGCAAGACTGGAATGTAAACATAGAGGGGTATCACCTGTTTAGAAAGGACAGGAAGGGAAAGAGGTGAGGGGGCGTAGCTTTATATGTCAGGGAAGGGATAGGATGCAGTGAGATGGAATGCGGCACAGATGAGTATCTGGTAGAGGTAGTCTGAGTGAGGAGGGGCCTGACAGTGGGGGTATGTTGTCACCCTCCAGGTCAACTTGAGACCCTGGATGAGGTCCTGACAGACCAGATTCGAAGGATATCTCAGGGGAGGGACACAGTAATTATGGGAGACTTCAATCTCCCAGATATTAGTTAGGAGACTCGCTCAGCGGTGACAGCTAGGTCACGTCACTACCTAGATTCTATAGATGGAGGGTTTTTCATGCAAAGGGTCCAGGAGGCCACAAGGGAGGGGGGTTAAATACCCTTAACTTGGTCTTGATGAACAGGGAGGAACTGAGAGATGGGGTGCAGATTAGGGGGAGCTCTGGATGCAAGTGATCAGTCCACTTTGAGATCATGGGAATGGGGATGAGGAGCAGGTCGAGTACTAGGAGCTGGAACTTCACAAGGGCCAACTTTGGTTGATTGAAGGCCAGACTGGGGAAAGTCTCCTGGGAGAGGGTATTGGAAGGCAAGGAGTGGATGGCACTCAAAAGGGAGGTCTTGGAAGCACAAGCCTTGACAATACTGCTAGTTAGTAAGGCAGGGAGGCAAAGGAGAGAGCTGCCTTGGATGCAAAAGGAGGTGGTAAGAGGGTTTAGACATAAGAGGAACCTTCACAGGAAATGGGCACTGGGGCAAATAGACGAAAGGGTATACTGGGAGAAGGAGGCCCGTTGCAGAAGGATTATTTGCAAGGCTAAGGCTGATTATGAGCTGAGACTTGAAAAGAATATCAGGAGCAACAGAAAGGGCTTCTATCAACACGTAAAAAGCAAGAGGAAGGGGAGACAGACAGTGGGACCGCTTAATAAGGAGGAAGGGGATTCATTGACTGATGTGAGGGAACAGGCACAGAAGCTAAATGACTATTTTGCCTCTGTGTTCTTTCCAAAGCAGGATGCAGGAGATATACATGGGGGGCTGGATGAGGCTGGGGATTTAGGGGTAGAGATTAGAATCGCCCCCCTAGAAGTTAAGGAGCTCCTCAGGGCACTGGACATTACAAAGGCGCCGGGTCTTCACAGGTTACACCTGAGGGTACTTCAGGAGTTGGCGGGGGATCTCTTGTGCCCATTGGCCTCCATTTTTGAGGCCTTGTGGAGAACAGATGAGGTTCCAGAGGACTGGAGGGTGGCATCAGTGGTCCCAATTTTCAAAAAGGGTAGTAGAGGGGACATAGAGAATTACACAACAGTTAGCCTTACATCCATTGTAGGAAAGACATTGGAAAGGCTCATAATATCAAGAGACTTGGTAAACCTTGTTAGGGAAGAGAGGTTGGCAGCTATACAACACGACTTCCGCAAAAACAGGTCTTGCCAGACAAATCTTGTGGAATTCTATGACATAGTTTCAAGGTCGACGGAGGGTACGCAGTGGATGTGGTATATCTGGATTTCAGCAAGGCCTTTGACAAAGTGCTGCATGATATCCTGGTTGAGAAATTGAGGAGTTTTGGGATAGACCAATGCACTGTCCAAGGGATTGGACAGAGGGTAACTATTAGTGGGGAATCATCGGGACGGTGGCCAGTAACAAGTGGAGTCCCTCCAGGAGTCTCCTGGGACCAATCCTGTTCAATCTTTTCATCAATGACCTGGAAGATGGGGTGACTAGTCTGCTGATCAAATTCGCAGACAATATTAAAATGGGGGCAGTGGCCACATCTGAAGAGCAGGTACATCAGATCCAGAAGGATCTGGACAGACTATGAAAGACAACAGGATGGCGTTCAATGTGGATAAGTGCAAGGTCTTACACTTGAGGCATAGGAATGGGTGTCATAAGTACAGGTTAAGGGACAAGTGGCTGGAGAGGAGCACTAGTGAAACAGATCTTGGGGTACTGATCGACTGCAGGCTAAACATGAGTCAGCCGTGTGATGTGGCCATCAAGAGGGTAAATGCCACCCTTGGTTGCATAGCCAGAAGTGTGGCTTCTAGATCGAGAGAAGTATTTCTACCACTCTATACAACTCTGGTACACCTGCAACTGGAGTATTGTGTTCAGTTCTGGCCTCCACATTACAGGAAGGATAGAGCCAGGTTAGAATCGGTATAGCATAGGGCCACAAAGATGGTGGACAGATTGCAGAGAAAGCCATATGAGATGAGACTGAGGGAACTGAGTCTTTTCAGCCTGGAGAAGAGGAGACTCTGAGGGGATCTGTTGGCAACATACAGGTATGTGAAGGGGTGTCACACGGGGTGGGTAGAGACCTGTTTTCCCCTGAGGAGGGCATGATGCATTCTAATGGAGCAAAGCTCAGGGAATCAAGGTTTAATTTGGATGCCAGGAAGTACTTCCTGACAGCTAGGACCCTAAGGATATGGAATGGGCTTCCATGGGTGGTGGTTGAAGTCCCATTGGTGAGGGTGTTCAAGGATGGACTGGACATGTACATGGTAGGCATGTTGTGAGTGGAGATGGCTGGAGCTGGGAGTCAGACTAGATGGCCCAGGAGGGGGTAGGTCTATAGAAAAGTAAGGCTAAAAGCAATGCAAGAGCTATGCTTGTCCTAATTTTATGTCATGCCTAGGTCTTCCCCAATCCAGGACAAGGCCTCCACAGATGAGAACCCACACACCACAAAACCAAAGGACCCTGAAAGACAGACAGAATCTCACATCTCTGGTATTGCCCAGGAAGCTCCCAGTATCCTGCAATGAACCTAGGAGCTGGGCCCCTAACTCACCAGTAAAAAACAACAACAAACCCCTTTCCAAATTAGAGGCAAGGAGAACCCACCTCCAGGCTCAGATGGTGGAGACAACAGAAAGTACGGGCTCAGACAGCCACCTGGCAAATAGCGCATACTTGAACACCTGAACTAGTGAGCTTCTCATGAGTAGTGTACCCAATGAGAGTAAAGAACCCTTTAAGAGCAGAACTATGCATTTGCTACTTCTATGGGGACCAAGAGACCAGATTATATAAATCCTCAGTTGAGATGCTGCTTTTCAGCTCCTGGGGTTTCTGGCTGTTGGACCCTAATTAGGCTGTTGGACCCTAATTTTTGGCTTTTGCCTGCTTCTGTATGTTGTTTGGACCTCGACTTCACCTAAGACCTTGCTTTTGAGCCACCCTCTTTTCTGAGTGACACTGGAGCTTTGACTCTGCTGTATCAGCTTTCCCCACCTTCAGTCCAAGGACTGAGTTTGACCTGACTGTAGCAGGGTATGAAAATATGCAGACCACCTTTTAAAAGAACTTGAAGTAGTATAGTGGTTAGGAGGATTAGACTAGGCCTGAGGCAATCCAAGCTCAAATCCCTACTTAGCTATGAGGGAGTGATCATGGACCAGTTTTTCAGAGGGTAGAAGACAAAATTGTTGTGAAGAGGAAAACTAAAAGTTGCTTGGACAACATGCAATAAATAAGCACATTAGGGGGCAGGTAAAAGAACAGCTTAATGACAAGCCCTTCCCAACTGAATTGGCAAAGTAGGTCAAAGACCTAAAGAGAGGCAGTGGCTTCTTGCAAAGAATTGACCACTCCCAAACCATGTTTGGCAGTGTCTAATCTGTCCTGAAGTTCCAAACTCTCTCTTTGAAACTTTTTAGCTTTAACAGGTCAGTTTTAAAGCTTGTTGTTTAACTTCCAAAGATAGACTGAAATGCCTCCAACCACAATTTAATACCAGATTAAACCTCTTCCTTCTGGTCTATCACTTATGCAACTGAAAGTGATTTGACACTGCAACATCTAGTCTCAGTCTTGCAATAATTGTCACATCAGCACCTTCCTGTAACTAGTACAAGTTTTGCCAACTTGAGATAACATTTCATGTATCTGATGAAATCCAGCCCGTTAAAACTTCTGCTGCAATTAGAATCTTAAGATAATCACTGGTTTCTTTTGCTGTAATACATCAGCAAACCCAGTGGAAGGGTTTGCAATTAACAGCAAACTTCATGCACTTTACTTTTTAAAAAGTTGAGCCCAGGCTTTAATCTCCTACACAAAAAAGGAGGAAGCCCTCCCATTCATGGATGATGCCCTTCCGAGAACAAACTCCGCTTTCTGAGCGGCAATGGGTTGGACCTCCCCTCTGCCACGTTATCAGCAAATCATGGCAACCAGCTTCTTCCCCCGCTTTACCGAGTTCCTCTGGTTGGGAAAGCCTAACTTTCCTTACACTGAAGCTAAGTTATAACGACCTAACGGTTTGCAGTATCTGGAGGGCGGTCTAAGAGTAGCTCAGCCGGTGTGTGAACGGGACTTACGCATTATCCACGGGGCGGTTATTATTATTATTATTATTATTATTAATACTACTACTACTACTACTACTACTACTGCCATAACATTCATAGGGTTGCTCTTTCGCCTCCAGTCTCTTCAGAGTTCGGTCTTACCCCAGTCTTTCTTTGCTTTCTTCTGGGGTGAGCTGATCGAAAGTTTTGGCTTCTTCTTTGCCCAGGAAAGCTTCGTGGTCGTACTGGAAGCTCTGGTTATCTTCGTGCTGTCGATCGCTGAGCTCGGGGTCAGGATGCACGCCCCTCTCCTTCCTGAAAGTGGGCACGCCAAAGGACCCTCGGATGCAAAGCGCCAGCAGCGCCAGCCCCACCGCTAGGCAGCGAAGAGTTTCTTTCAAGCCCATGCTTTTGTCTCCCCAGGGGGTTGATCGGTGCCCCCGAGTGCGGGACCACACAGCAACGTGGAGAAGGGAATCAAAGCGGTAGAAAGTGTCGAGCCTACAAGTTAAGTCACGCTGGCTTCTTTACCTGCAAAAGCATGCACACGTCTTGGCGCCCAGAGCTGCAGGACTCGCCTCGCGTATCTCTCACAGCTCCCACACAGAAGACTCAGTGTGGGGTTGCCCTTCTCTCCCAGCCCCCCATTGCACAATTCCGGCAGAGAAAATCTCGCTTTTGGAACGCACATGAATGACCTAATTTGGGCCGGGTGAGGAATCCCCCCGCCCCAGCCACTCAGGAGTGGGCTTGGAAACCAGGGCTCTTCCGCGCCCCTCTATATTACGTCTCCTGCGATTGGTCGAGAGTGCCTCCTTCCGTCCCTCTCGTATTGTGGGAGGAGACGACATGGGCCATCGGATCGCCACGTTTACAAGGCAGCTCGGGTAAGCCAGAAAACGGAGCGGGAGAAGACGAGCTGTAACGTGGAAACGGCCTGGGGAAAGTTTCCAGACGCCAACGTGGTGCGGATTTGTCTTTTCGTTGCGCAAAACGAATGCGGGGGAGAGATGTGTAATCCGATTCCACGCATATTAATGGGGGAGGAAGTCTTAGTGAGCGTTTATTTGCGAGCAAATTGTCAAGTGATCGAACGATAAGACAAACTTTCTTTTGTAACTGTAGGAATATCCCGGATCCATCTTTAAGACTCATTAAAATCTGAAATACTTGTCATATTGCGAAAATCTCACCATCCCAAACAAACATGCTTAATTCATGACAAGGTTGCAAATTTAAAGGGAGATCCTATGCAAAGTAGTCAGAAGTAGGTCCACTGAGTAACAGGCAGCTTACTACCCCTACGTGAGTGTGGCTATAAAATTATAGACCTAATCAATATTCAGCTGACTTTCATATTGTTAGTTTAAATCTCCTGCCCGCTGCCATGGATTAGGCGGAGTTGACAGCAAGAGAAGCCTTCCAGAATTGCTCATTACTCTACAGGGCACACCACACATCTCTAATTCCTGGACTGTGTTTTGTTTTTGCTTTGTTTTTAACGTAAAGATGACTTCTTTCTTTTGGCTGCAACCCAGAGTTAGTAGGCTTTGTCCCATGTAGGATAACATTCTGTTATAAACTCTTTTTCTTAGACCAGGTGAAGTTTCAGCCCCCATCCATTGCTTTTGATAGTTTTGTTCAGCCTACAAGTTGACAGCTAGCAAAAAGTGTTTCCCTAATGAACATTCATAGCTGCCAGCTAGCAGTTGCATTTTTTAAAGTTGCAGTTGCTTTAAGAGTCCAGGCAGTGGTATTCTGTTCCAGTTTGCTTTTTGCTCAGCACTTTCAACTCCTTTTCATCCATGTTCTTCTGAAGCATATCTGGACTTCTGCCTGGCTTCAGCAGGCAAGGGATGGGACAGACAAAAGGGCCACCATAATGGAATTATATCGGTTAGGAGACATGGTTGTCCCCTCGTCTTTTGAGGCAATGACATATTTAAGCATATAAGGGGCTGGTGGGGCGGGTGGAGGACGTTTGGGATGCAGCCTGGCACCCCTAGACAATCCAGACAATATCTGGAATGAACTTAAATCTGCATCTTCCTGCAGTGTGCAGACAACTGTATACCTAGTGTGCTTAATGTAATTGAAACATTTTGTACTGGGAAATTCAAAGAGAGAGTTAACACTAATGCTGGCTGGTAAAGTTTTAGGCTTTTATTATTGTTATTTATTCCCTTTCTATACCTCCTGTAGGTGATGCTGTCTGGGCAGTTCATAGTGGAATATAAAAACAAGAAAATACAATATATAAAACAGGATTTAGACTGTTGAAAAATTAATTGAAAATTTATTATTCATTAATTCATTCATTAAAAGCTTTTCTAACCCATCCAGTATAAGTGTCTCGGGATGGCTTACAGAAAAAGCCATTAAAATACAATAAAACAACCCAGTCACAAGAAAGAAAGGCACTTGGCTAAACCCACCAGGCCTCTGGATCATAGAATAGTAGAGTTGGAAGGGACTAAGAAGGCCATCAGGTCCAGCCCCCTATTGTTGGAGGACACCAAGTTATACCATCCCACTCAGATGGCTGTCCAGTTTCTTTTTGGATGTCTCTAGTGTAGGAGAGCCCACCACCTTTAGGAAACTGGCTGCACTGGTGTATTGCTCTGACTCTGGAAATTTTTCCTGATATCTAGCCTGAATCTGGTTTGTTACAACTTGAATTGATTATTCTGTATCCTGCACTCTTGTATGGGTGAGAAGAGATCTTTAACTTTCTCTCTGTGACAACCTTTCAGGTACTTTCAGGTACGCAGAGTAATAGCATGTCCCCCCTCAGCCTTCTTTCCTCAAGGCTGAACTTACCTGGTGTTCTCAGCCTTTTCTCATAGAGCAATGTTTCCAAACCCTGGATCATTTTTGTTGTCCTCCTCTGGAGCCTTTCTAGTTATTTTGCATCTTTTTAAAATATTGGTGCCCAGAGCCAGAAACGGTATTCTGCATGAGGTATGACTAGGGAAACTATTACTGCTCATGATTTGGAAATAATACTTCTGTTAATGCATCCCAGAATAGCATTTGCCCTTTTTACAGCTGTATCACATTGTTGGCTTATATTTAGCCTGTTGTCCACAATTACTCCAAGGTCTTTTTCTTTTTCAGTTCTGTTGAGCTACGTATTCCCCATCTTGCATTGATGTATTTGGTTTCTTTTTCCTAGGTGGGGGACTTGGCATTTGTCCCAACTGAATCTCATTTTGTTGTTTTCAGCCCAGCATTCAAGCTTATTAGGATTGCCCTGGATCTTCATTCAGTCTTTCAGTGTGTTTGCTTTTCCACCCAGTATTGTCTGCAAATCTGATTATCATTCCTTGTACTCTGTCACCTCTTTATCATTAATAAATAGGTTGAAGAACACTGGGCTAGGACTGAACCCTGTGGCACCTCACTAATTACCTCCCTCCAGTTGGAGAAAGTGCCATGGATGACCTCTCTTTATGTCAAGTTAGCAGCCACTTTTGGATCCACTGAATAGTTTTTCTATCTAGTCCACTTTTTGCTAGTTTGCATATCAGGATGTCAGGGGCTCTATGTTGAAAGCTTTGCTAAAGTCGACATAGATTATGTCCACAGTGTTTTCACTGTCTATTTGGGAAATTACCTAGTGAAAAAATGAGATTAAATTAGTATGACCAGGGAGAGACCTGTAAAGGCCTCCACGAAGAGGGCTGTTTTAATGTGGCAATGAAAAGATGGCAAATTTGGCACCAGATGGGCTGCAGCAGGGAAGTTATTCCAAAGATGTGGGGGCTACCACAGAAAAGGCCCTCCTCCTAGTTGCCACCCTTCAAGCCTCTCAAGGAGTTGGCACCTAAAGGAAAACTCCAGAGGTTGAATGTAGTGTCCAAGTAGATTGGGGTTAGGAGAGACATACGAACAGGTATTGTGCTCCCAAGCTGTGTGAGGCTTTATAGTTAACACCAGCACCTTGAACTGGGACCAAAAGTATACAGGCAACCAATGCAGTCAGGCCAGAACTGATCTTATATGTTCAGACTGCTTGGTCCCAGTTATTATAGATGTATTCTGCATCAGCTGTAGCCTCTGAACCATCTTCAAGGACAGTCCTACACAGAGTGCATTGCAGTAGTCCAAGCTAAAGATTACCAGAGTGTAGTTTACTGAAGCCAGGCTATCCCTCTCCCGATATCAGTGCAGCTGAGCCATCAGCTGGAGCTGACAGAAGGCACTCCACACTACAAACAAACAAATAAATAAATGCGAAAGATGGATCAAGCTACACTTTTTCAAAGGGAGTGTGACCCCGTCTAGAACAGGTTGAACACCACCCGCTGGTTGAAGGAATCCCCCACCAACAACATCTCGGGCTTGTCTGGATTGCATTTCAGTTTGTTTGCTGTTATCCAGTCCATTATAATAGCCAGACACCAGTTTAGTGCATCTACAGCCTCCCCTGCCAACAATGAAACAGAGATGACAACACACTCTGAAACTCTGGATGGCCCCACTCAACCATTTCATGTAGATGTTGAATAGCATGGAGGACAGAACAGACCACTGAGGAACTCTATGCTGAAGAATCCATGGGGCTGAACAGTATTCTCCAAGCACCACTTTCTGGAGACTGCCCTCCAAGTGGGAGCAGAATCACTGCAGTGCCCTCTCAGCCAGCTGCTCCAGAAGGATATCAAGGTTGATGCTATTGAAAGCCACCGAGAAGTCCAATAGTATCAACAGGATTGTGCTGCCCTGTCTCACTTCTGGCATAGGTCGTCATACAGGGTGACAAATGCTGCTTCCATGCAAAGACCAGGCCTGAACCCTGATTGGAACAGATCCAGATTTTATCTGAGAGAGCCTTGAATTGATTGTCAACTACCCTCTCTAGAACCAAACATGCATAGAATTGCACCCCAAGTGGCTTCTGGCTAGAGTTTTGAAATTATTATGTGTAGGAAACATGCTAACATGAAGCCAATATTGCCTGAATGTTATGTATGCATACTTGCCTACACAACCTGCACACATGTAAAGAAACATAGAATCCCCAGCCCATTGGTCTCCAGTGCTTTCGTGCTCAAAAAGGAAACTTTTAGAAAAGACTGCCCTGGAACTTCTCAGTGTACAGAAGATAGAGCACAAAACACTACTGTGGATAAGATCCAACCAGGGGAAAAGATCCGGATTTAGGCCCAAAGGACAAATTTGTATATGCTGTTTTACATATTCTCTAAAGTGTATGTGCCTTCGTCTTCAAAGGAGCCTGTCTCCTAAGAACAGCCCTACTTGTAAAAAAGTATGTATGGGGCAGAGGAGAGGAGGGCATTTGATTTTGTGGATGGAGGAAGCAGGAGGTGAAACAGAAATGGACAAAAATCCGGCTAATCCAGGGTCATTAGATGCGTTCGAGACCATCAGGCCTGTACCTATATTTCAGCAAGAGTTTATACGGAGAGGAAGGTAGTGAGGCAGGTGGCCTCCCAGAGATTCAGGGCCCAAATGAAACTTTCAGGATTCCAGGTCCACCTCCGGATCCAGCCTAAAATTAGTATGTGTTAAGGCCTATTGATTTCTGTCAGTGGAACTTAAGGAGACAAGTAAAATCAGTATTGTCAAAAGTCCTTACCATTGGCATTATTATATCCTGTGATCTTTCTGGTGGTAAGAACAACTGGCAATGCAAGTGGTAGTGCTCAGCCGA